TAGGTTGGACATGAGGCTAACAAGCGCCAACGCGCAAAAACTACACCAGCTTTACTCTAAACTTTAAATATAACTTGAAATCCTATACTCTACTCAAAATGCCCAGGAAATGAAACAAATAAATGCAGGTGAAATAATAAGAATGAGGTGGAGTTAATGAAGACAGACATCACTGAAGAACTGATACCTCAAGGTGTTCCTTTTCTAACTCCTTTGCATTCTGAGTGCGGTGTGGGGCTTTTAGCTTCGAAGTTTCAGTAGCGGAAGTGTTGTCTGATTTCATGGGGACTGGAGTTGGTAGTCTCATGTCCCTAACCTTCCATCTTTTTCTGACTTGCGATTCATATTAATTTGTTTATTATATATATTACACATTGATCAGCGTCGGTGGCATAGCGGTTAGGACGCTAGCCGACCATGCACATGGTCCGGGGTTCGATTCCCGGCCGACGCACTCCTTTACCTCGTTAAGCCAGGAATAATGCTAGTGAAGAGGAAAGGTTGGGCATGAGACTAGCAACCTATCCTGTAAAATAAACACTGCTACAGAAACTTCAAGCCACTAGCCTGAAGATCTATGTTCCACTGGGGAACACAGTGATCACTTTTTGAACATGATTTATTCTTTACAATCATGTCAATTATAACTATACCGCTTCAAAACCTCCGAACATCTGCAGAATTCTACCAGCCGTCTGAGGGGGAAGAATAAAGAAAATTATGAAATGAAGGTTTCGAAGTTGTGTAGTCATAACTGATATGATTACAAACAATAATGAATTGTGTTCGAAACTTCGTCATCCAGTAAATAATACTGTTTCACTGACTTTGTGACATATCTAATAAACAAATTAGTATGAAAGTACCATCCACCATAGTATCCAACTTTTACACATGTATTAGGCGAAGTTTCGAAGTGTATAAGCTGGGATTCGAACCCGGATCTTTTGTACATCTGACTAGGATCCTACTGTTTAATTAGTGACTCACGCTTCAGAGTGAAGTATAAAAGCATTGTCAAACTGAATTTCAATGACAATATTTGTTTTTCTCACACACTAGTAGATATTGCTACACCTTTCAAAAAATCGTTCTGTTGTAGACTTTGAACCCAATCAGTACGCGTATAAAGTGGCCATTTTTTAAAAACTTTTGCGAGTTTGTTTTCCTGCGAAATGGTGGAAACAAACAATACTGGAATTTCCACCTAAGGACATGAACATTACATTTCAGTAGCGAAAGCCTTGTCTGAGAACAAAATGTTCATTGAAGAGACTCGTTTTAACGAACTTGTCATCAAGCTATACAATCTTATATATATATATATATATAAATGACTGTTATACTCTCTGTGATAACTTCGACTTATTCGATAGTTGGAGGGAGTCGGTAGAAAGCATTCGGCATAGGTTTCGTGCTAGTTGCACTCGTCGGCAAGGCGTATCTGCAACCTTGAAGGAACTCATGTCCCACACCTCTGAGATTCGAACCCGCGTCACCCAGTGCTGCAGTCAAAGACGTTAACACTGAGCTATTAGGGCTCTGTAGGACTGTAGTGGGTATTTTGATTGGACACTAGTAACTAGTGAGACGTGTCCAATCAAAATATAGCTTTGACTTGATAGACTGTTATTCTTGTAACGTGTGATAGATAATTCAAAGTGAAGCATGAATCTGGCTCACGTTAAAGCTCATACTATTGGCCTACGAATCGCTAATTAGACACTCTGATACATATGAACCGGGAGAATTACCTTTTGATCCCTTTACGTTCCCAATGGAACATAGGGCTTCAAGCTTTAGCCTTGAAGTTTAAGTAGCAGTGGTGTTTTTACGGGATGGGGTGGCTAGCCTCAGGCCCAACCTTTCCTCCTTGTCTAGCAAGGGCAGGTAAAGGAATGCACCAGCCGGGACTCGAACCCTGGACCACGTGCATGGTCGACCAAAGCTTTACCGCTGAACCATCGACTCACCGAACCGGGAGATAAGGCAGTGATAAGTACTCAAGCTGGTAGAGATTTCGGTGTAGAATAGAAAGTAGCTAAAATATGATAGAGTTGGCGAAATACGTGAGTGTAGAAAAAAGGATTGTACTTCTCAGTTAGATGCCCATCCATGACTCTGTGGTAACATATACGGAAATTGCAATACAATACATGAATTTACCAATTTAGTGGTTGGTAATTAGTTTATTAATAATCAGTCAGCATTAACATGTCAGTTGAGGGTGATGATTAACCAAGAAAATTAATGCAACGATTAAAAATTAAACAAATAGATTAAACAAAGCACAATTTTGAGGAAACAAATAAAAGGAATGGTAAGGAAATTTTTAACGCTGGCAAACTACGCGTCTTATTATCTGAACGACCGATGGTGATTCCCATTATTGAAAGATGAAGTACCTAGACTAGCCACTTCCAATTGTATCTACCAATTCAACTGCGCATGTGGAGCGAGTTATATTGGCCGTTGCTCTAGGAACTTGATTTTTTGTGCTCGCTCGGGAACATCTCCCAGTATGGCTAAGTAAAGGTGTAGAGAAAACTATCAACAGTTCGATATTAGACCATCTGATGCAAACCAGCCACAAATCCATTCAGCATTGAAGAATCCTTCTTTATCACCTACCGGGTGCCTAATAAATTGCCGAAATCATCGAAGCACCCAATGCTCCAAATAACAGAGGCTATTGCAATTCACCTCAAACAACCAGTGCTCTGTGTTCAAAAGAAGCAAGTCCAGCGCCTACTACTGCCTTGGCCGGCCTTCAGTAGAGACTATTAATTCATGAATTTGTATCGTTGTCTATCCTAATTTTTCTGATATTCAGCTTATTTTATTTTGATGCTATTGAACTGCAATCTATCCATATTATTGATTCGATGTTATTTAAACAAGATTAATGTTGTTCATAACACTAATTCATTCATTCACCATTATGTATAGATAACTGTAGAGCCCGATGAAGAAGGAAATATCGAGAAGAGTATTGATTGTTCAGTATCCTTTCTTTTGAAAATATATGAATGTCTAAAGGGGTTAGGTATTAAGCAGTTAAACATTAAGTAGGCGAAATAATAAGTTATTTAGAAAAATAGTGACTTGTAAATTGTTTAGAAAGAGAGAGAAATTGTCATTTTCATTTTCGACATTTATGTAACGATGGTCAGGATAAGGAGTGTCTGTCTTCAGTTAGATTCCTTAGGTCTCAGCTTCATCTGCATACAGCTACTCCATAGATTAGGATGTAAGTGGAAAGCAACTATTTCTTTGTTTATTCTTTTAATCTTCTAAATAATGATGGAACAGTGAGCAAATATAATATGAAATAAGACTCAAATATAATAAATGGAGATGAATATTGGAAAGTGTTAGGCGTCGGTGGCACCAGAGGAAGCACGTTCGCCGACCACGCCTCATGTAGTTCGGGATTAGTCCCTCGGGCGACACATTCCTTTACCTCGCTGAGCCAGTAGTAAAACTGATAAAGAGGGAAGGTTGGTCATGAGACCACTGCTACTTAAACTTCAAGCCTCTAGCTTGAAGCCCGATGCTGCACACTGGGAACGTAAATGTATAATAATAAAAATAATGGAAAGTGTTCGGAAGATGAAAAATGTTTAAGAGCTGTACGTTTAATAAAACAAGCAAAAGAATAATAAACAACAATACTAATTATCATTGCAATTCGTTCCTTGTATTCTGAATGAGGCATAGGGTTTCAACATAACAAAACTTCCTTGTATCCCTCTCAGCTAGATCCGAAACTTCCCAAAAGCCCTCACTTCCTCCTCCCATAACCTTTTCAAAATCAAATTTGTCGCCTTCCGTTTCGGTTCCATTTGAAGGGTATCTTGATGCATGATGTTACTCGCTTATTTTCACGGAGTATGTCTAATCGGTGGATACTTTTTTGGCAGGTTCATCTATCCATAGAGTTCTTTGTTGCGTATATTTTCTGCCTATTTGATTTTAGGTATCAAGCGAAGGCAGGTGTTAATGAAGCACTTCACTAGCCTGTTATAAATGTTTCTGGTAACTTCCCTACAGTTCTGTGAAGCACAGATGTAAGCACTGACTGACCTGACATTTGTGTTGAAAATTCAAATGTGATTTAGACCTCCCACACTGATTTCGGTGTAATGAAAGCCTTTCTCGTTTCTCCAATATGATCCAGGTTATCTTTTCACCTGCTTATATTTGACACAACACTATCCAGATCATCTAAGTAGAAGATGCAACTTCCCTTAATGAAGAAAAAAATTAGTCAAAGCCTTATTCAATGATTGTCTATCTATTTACATTCTCTGACAATATCTCACGTCGTGACCAGTAGGGTTTAGCAGGTTGGAAATGAGTAGAAACACTCGCCTCCAATGACAATGGCTAGAGGTAGCGCTATGTCGCGAATTAGTAGAGGTTGGGATTCATGGACTGGCCATTCAATCCGGTCCTAGTGGCTTATTGGTCTACGAGCTAGCTCGCTGGACTTGTAACCAGAGGGTAGTGGGTTCGAACCCTTCTGTGGTGGGTGCTTGCTACTGAAGAGTCCGAAACTAGGATGGGGGGAACAGCTGTCTGGTAGTATACTCCGATATCAACTCATGATGAAATCCTGTTAACAGCCGCACTATTTAATCGATCGTTATTGTTACAAAAAACCAGTATGGGACACTTTGATAAACTGATTGTATATGATGAATAATGATCCACTCGTGTTCATAAATTTGTTTATTTTTGAAAAGTGCGAATATAGAAAAACAATGTACATATATATATACATGTATACTTGTATATCTGCGTATGTACCATTGGAGAGATAAATAAAAAGGAATGAAAAATAGAGTTTTATCCGAAAAATAAAATGAAAAAATTTACATTTTTATTCGAGAATAAATAAAAATAAATTCCTCTTTTTTGTGTCAATCATTAAATCTAATAATGACCGAGTAATCTGTATATATACATATATGTGTGATCTAAAAATATTCTATTCGCATAAATCATGTACGACATCGTGCACACTGCTGCGGAACAATAAGTTATGTCCTTGTAAATAAGTAGTCTTGAAGAATGAGAACACACAGCAGCAACAACTATGCCTAGTATATCTATATGATCAGTTTCCACTGGAAGCTTTCCTCGTTTTCTTTGAATTCAATTCTATAAAAAAGTTAACAAAAACATTAAATATTCTCAATCGAAAAAACATATATCATTCAATTTACATGGCTGAAGGGGTAAGAATTTATTATGTTATTTTTGTTCATGTTCAATTCACCAGTGATTAGTTATATGTCAGGATTAATCATGCTCTTCAAGCATCCATATAGTCCAGAGTTCGATGCCCGGCCACCGACGCACTCCTTTACCTCGCTAACCCAGTAATAAAACTGGTAAAGAGGAAAGGTTGGGCTGGGCATGAGGGTTGCAACCCCACACTGTAAAAAAATAAACACCACTGCTACCGAAACTTCAAGCGTCTAGCTTGAAGTAACCCTATGTTCCACACTGGAAACGTAAAGGTACAGGAATGCAATCGATTGATTACTCACGCCGTCAATATTGCCTACTGAGATGTCTTCAATGTCAGGCTGTCTTTAGACTTCAATGTTTTGATATCTGTGATTATTTCAAGATAATTAGCTACGACTGGACACTAGCCAGTAAGTAAGTGGTGTTATGCGTCTAGTGTTTTGTTTGGTGCGCAGTGAATTCTGTCGAGTCCATCGGGAACTTGAATAGCTTACCGGTAACTTCTCTGAATGAAGCAGCGGATGGTTGCAGATGTGCCTTACTGACTGGTGAGTGTCAATAAGCACGAAACGTAGGTCGAAGGCTTTCGGTCAATTGCTTCCAACAATGTAATAATAAACGTGACTATTTTAGTAGATTGATTTCTAAAAACAAGTTTGTAAATGTGTTCAAATGCACAAATGAATGGTTTATAAAGTAAGATCTTTCATAAAACACAGTTTCTGACAATACGTATATACATATCATTTAGACAACCATTGAAAGCTAAGGAGCACTGGAAGGATGTTTCGTCCTAGTTCAGGATTTCAGTAGTTTTTACCTACGATCCCTGAGGGATCGAGTCCATAACCTTCATGTTACGAAGCAAGTTTGTCGGCTATTAAGTCGCTTACACCGGTATCCATTGTCTTTTAAATTCTAACTTTTATTGATTCATAATACTCAAAGGAAACTAAAGCCATGACCTGTGACCATCAGGTTATGAGATCAGTACTTCGACTATTGATCGAGTGAGTGGGAGTTCGCTGACGATTGTATTTTACTTTTTATCAGTTAGCGATATCGCACTGCTGTCAAAACGAGTGACACTGATAACCATCCGCTTCACTCCTGGTATCATGTGTCCGATGGACCTTGACTTCACATCAAATTTCTATAAAATATGAGATTAATTGACTCAGGGTTAAGCACTTTTACAATAATAGCATCGAAAAATTGCGTAAAACCTAATAATATAATAATAATATAGTCACATTACTCCATACAATAACAATCATACAGAATGCAGTTTTCAGCGTTTTTATACATATTTCAACAATTCGGCTCCTTTTATTAAAATATATAAATACATAGAATTGAAAAAATTACAATTAAACCACAAAATACTGAACATCATCGGAACATAATGAATTATAAATAAATAATATAATACACAATAAATGTAATAATAAATAATAATAATATATGTGTAAAACTTGGGCACTGTGATAGTAAATAACTCCATATTAGTTTGTTTATTAGATATATCACACAGTCAGTGAAACAGTATTATTTACTGGATGACGAAGTTTCTAACAAAATTTATTGTTCATAATCATTTCATCAATTATAATCACACAACTTCGAAAATTGAGTTTTATAGTTTTCTTTGTTCTCTCCTATTTGTCATCGTTGGGGTAGTAGAATTTTCCAGATTTCCGACTGGACAGGTGTTGAATCATTCCTATTACACGTGTTTGCAGTTGATTCGACCAACAAAGCATCCGTTATGAATTTCTCCCTCCACCCGGTGACATTAGATTTTAAAACTGTCATCTTATCCCACTCATCCTATTGTATGTTTGTGTGTAATTGCATGTAGTGCTTGTGATAGCTGAACTATTGTCTAGATTTCTTATCTTATTTTGGTTAACCAATCTAGATTTTGCTAGGTTTTATGTTCGGCTAGTCTGATGGCACCTGTTCTACTAGTTTGATCTATATATTTCACCTGACAATCACTCAAGTAGGGTATTAGATAAACTAAATTGTTTTGTTTTAAAGGCTCTACAGGATTGATCCTTTAACCGACAAAGCTTGTTTCTAATTGAGTTTGTGGGTTTGAATGCCATTTTTACTCCTGTCTTGTTAAAAATTCTGCATAAGGCTTCCGAGGTTCCTTCCTTGTATGGAATTATTACTGATGATTTAGATTTCTTACTGTTGGTGTCGTCATTAATATTGTTATTATTATTATTATCATTACTAGTGGTATCATTATTATTATTGTCACTATCGCTACTATCATTATTTATTTTATTTTTACATCTCCTTACATATTTCCTGACTAATTTATCCCGGTAAAAATAAAATAAATAATGATATTAGCGATAGTGATAATAATTTTGTTCGAAATGTCATCCAGTAAATAATACTGTTTCACTGTGTGATACAGGTAATAATAATAATCTTGGCTTATACTTTGCAGTTCAGCTACTAATTTAAAAAGTTAAAAAGTTCTTTTCTGACATTTGACTCTCTCTTTACACAAAACCTGTACTGAATATGGTATGGTAGAAAGTTTATATTATTGCTTTACGAGCATATATCCATATGAAGTTCCCTCTGGTTTTATCCGAAGAGATACAGGGAGAAAGTTGTGAATAAGTAGAGAGGATGTTTAGTATGAGAAAAGATAACTTCAGTCATCTGCATACGAACAGCAATGTCACTTAGTTGAGTCGGTGGCACAGTGGTTAGGACTGTCACCGACCATGCACACGGTCCGAGGTTCGATCCCCTGCCGACGCACACCTGATATCAATGGTCGGTCTGCAAAATTTGGGCTACCGAAATCACGTGCTGAAAATTCCATACTTGTACCAAAAATATGGTGTGGAATCAAGCTATAATCAAAATTTTACAAAATCAAATCAAAGGCAGACCATTTACAGCCTTCATTGTTCCACGTAATATGATACCGTCGCTTTTGAGAAGTCCAGGAAAGAATAAGGGTGAACATCAAAGAAGTATGGACAGAATACGTGAAATAATAAATTGTAAACGGAGAGGTTGACTTATGCTAGCAAAACTGTTTGAGCTACTTTGTGTAATAAGTCAAACCAAAACATTTTTAGAAGCCAACACTGGGAGACGATCAACAGAGACTGATTCCAAGATAAGAGATATTCAATTTACCCCCTATCACGCAAGTCTTGTTCGCATCTGAAACTAAAATCAACAATATGACGCTGGGATAGATTCAGTTTAAGATAATGCGTCAACTTCAGATAAAAATCACTTCATATTAGACTAGTCCAATGCAGAAACTAGTGGGCCAGGAATTGTCACGTCATCGGAATATTTAATGAAATTGCCTTTGCAGGAATACGGAAGGTGAGAGGTATTCAGATGGGAATTTCATATTAGATACGTAGGTTCTTGATATATTTTTATATACACACAAATTAGAGGGTGATAAATAAAACTCTAACATCAAAAATGTTAACTGACATTTATCAGTTGCCTTCGTCATTCAAGCACTGACATGTATCATGTGAAATAATAGTACATTGACCCTGTTTCCAGATGTGAGAATTTCATAGGGAAAAGACACTTATTATTAATTTTGAGCATTCTGTCAGTTTTGAATTAATTCATGCCCTTTTTAAAGAAAAAATAAAAGTTGAGTAAATGTATGTCAGAGATATTCTTTCGGCGATTTCATCCTCAAAAGCTGTACAAACATAAAAAAGATATTTAATTGGTGGATAGTGACTAGCAGTGGAATCCAAAATGCGCATTTCGTCCTGTTTGGGACTCGTCATCTGGATGTATTTACATTTCTCAGTGAGTGATGATGTCTCCACTGAGGCTTGAACCCAATGCCCATAATTTCAAACGCCAAAGTGTTATCCACTAGACCACTTTGGCCACGAGAGCCACCTCTTGAGTAACGGCTCATATTAATTTAATTGAATTCTGGATTTCCCCGTCGATAGATTGGACCTACTCATTTATCACTTGAATACTTTTAGTGAGAAAACCGGAAAAAGTAAACTCAGATTTTCAAGACTGCAGATATATGTAAGCCATTGTAAAATACTAGAATGTAACCTGTAACTGGAGATTTTCGCTGGCTGACGCCTTACATCGTACATCACAACGTCAATACTTTCATCTGTTCCACTGTCAGCCACGTTATCGACTGCAGGGATTAAAAAACACTGATCACTGAGCTATGAAGTGGCTTCTTGGCGATGATAAATTTATTAACACACTTGTACAAATGTCCGGTGTACTTTTTACATCTTACTGGTGACTCTAGATTTACTGAGTAGTGAAATTCTGCGGACATTTAAAATATGTACTGTTTTGTTATTCAGTTGACTGAATTGAAGACATCAACGGCACAGCGGTGGAATGCTCGCCAACTACGCCACAGGTGGTTTGAGGTTTGATCCCCGGCCGATACAACCCTTTACCTCAGTAAGTGAGTAATAAGATCGGTAAAGAGGGAAGATTGTGCTGGGTATGAGGCTAGCAACCCTATCCCATAAAAATAAATACCACTGCCACCGAAACTTCAAAGCTGTATCTTGAAGCTCTGTGTTCCACAATAGGAACGTAAAGGAATAAAAAAATACTGTTGAAGCTACAGTAACAGAAATTTTTCAAATAGATAATTGTTATATGTCATTCTATATTAGATCCCTGGTGGGGTCGTGGCAGAGCATATCTGAAGAGTCCTACAGCAGGATGATCCACCCAACTGATGTCGGCGCGTGACGAATTGTTAACACAGAATATTCACTCTAGGTCATAGAAATCAATAAAAAAAGACCGTTGCAGCAAAGAAAATTTTCTTTTTGACGAAGTCCTCAACTAGGCTGTACATTCATGCATTTATAATAAATCGGTGAGAGAATTCCAGAACTATTTCCAGTCAGGAGTCAAGTTAATACAATTTCAAAGAGTAGTAAACAGAAAAATTGGACTGAAAAAC